CTCTCTCTCTCTCTCTCTCTCTCTCTCTCTCTCTCTCTCGGTGGTGCTACCATATTAAATGTCAGCTTAAAGAACTAGCTATTCCATACTGCCTTACCCTCTAAAGCAAATATTATTCTAAGAAGCATGGAAAAATATATTTATGAAGAAGAAAATATACTAAAGGGCAAATTTCACAATATGCCTGGAGTCAGTGCAGCCCCTGGCCCTGTGATGGACAGCCGGTTAGACTACCAGAGAGAGGCTGCAGTTAGCCTGGGGAGGAGACCGCCCTCCGCAGTGCACCTCCCAGGCCTCAAGTTGCCAGGAGTTGCTAGGAGATGACCCTGGCTGGGAGCTGTTCACCCTAACACACTGCATGGTTCTTCAGGATTTCCCTTCCACATTAAAAAAAAAAAAAAAAAAAAAAACACACATTTATGCCTGAGACACTACGACGATAAGCCCAGTGAAGAACAGTCTCCACAAAATAAAATATAAAAGGAAATAAGAAGCCATTACTTCAGTGAGCTGCATTTTGTATGGCTCAGGAACACCTGTGCTTCCCTGTTCTTCAGAATGAGGTTTCACCTTGACTAACCTTGAAGTATGATGCATTTTTAACCCTTTACTTTCAGTCAAGGCAGACTCACTGAAGGCTGTATTCTTTTTTCTTTACAAAAATTATATACTCCAGATTCTTCCATTTCAAAATGTCAGCCAAGTACTATTTCCCTGACTCATTCTCCTGCAGATTCCCACAGATCCTCCCGAACGAGCACTGCAACAGCCCCTTTCAGGGCTGCCTTAGTGACTGCAGTGGTGTGCAGAGGTGTTTGTGGTGGTGATGATGATGATGATGAAGACACCAGAGAAGGAAAAGGGGGCAGTGATGCTGGGGGGTCCTTCCCTCCCTCCCTTCTGCAGTCACGACTCATACACGTACCTACAACTCTGCCCTTCAAAATGACCTTTCTAAAAAATTGACAGCCTTTGGGTGCAGAGAGGCAAAAACAATTAAGGTATCTAATTTTCAATGGCTGGGGGAGGGGGTCCATCCAATGAAGCAACAGGCTGCACAAAATCCTGTAAGATGAGCTGTTTCTCCATTTGTGCCATGCATTTCTTACATTGACCCTTTACTGTAACCAAACCCAAGCTGCTGGTCTGCATCTGTCTGTACAGTCCTTAAAAATCCCAGACTTTGCTATCTTTCTAGTCAAGGCTTAGACGCTCCTGACATGCAGATTACTGGGCCATTTCTGGCCTGTGATGACTCTGGGAGAGGTCACAGGGGAAAACCAGGGCTATGATCATGAAATACTGCAGTATGGATGGATTCTTCTTCCCCTCTCCATTCCCCTTCTTCCTAAGCATATATTTGGTCTAGAAAAAAAGGATGCTACAACATACAACTTCACCTGCATTAGATGCGATTACATTATGATTTTCCTCTCAAGCCCAAATCTCGTTTTCTTAAGGACTTGGGCTATGGCTCCGGAGAGAGGCATAGCCAGTCTCCCAGAGCCTGACCATTCCCAGGAGGGAATGGCTCAAGCGATATCGGTAAGATGCACTGCAAATTACCAAGACAAGATCGCAACATGTACATGTAACCCTCTGCCTAGTCGGGACTCCGCATTTCTCACAGGATGACAAGCCCAGGCTGGCGTGATGAGAGGAGCACCTCCTACCCGATGCCTCTCCACCCTGGTCATCACGGTGGGTGCGGAACTGTCCGCAGGGCCTGCGCAGGGGACGCGACGCCCAGGAAAGACAAGGAGCTGAGGACGCGAGCTACAGACCCCGTACTTACACCAACTGCCACCGGTCCTGCCCAGAAACTCCTTCTTCTCCGAGTTCCAGATGAATTTCTTCCAGCTGCCCTCTTCCTTGGCTTTTCCGCGGGCCATGGTGGCGGGTCAGCCGCGCCGGGAGGCTGCGGATGGGTGACTGCGGCGTGCGCCCTGGTGTCCGCTCCGGCTGCCGCTCGGCGACCGGGCCCGGCTCTCCGCAGGCTCGACGCGCCGCTGCCGCTGCGGCTTTCTGAGTGCTAGACGCGCGGTGGAGGAGCGGAGGCAGGAGCGGGAGGAGGGGAGGCGGCGGGGGCGGAGGAGGAGGGTGGGACGCGCGGCTGGGCGGCTCCGAGCCCGCACCTATGGGGGGCGCGCACCGCTCGCCGGCTCTCCGGTCCGCCACACACTCCTCTCGCCCTTGGGGGCGCAGGGACTTCAAGAACCCGGTTGCCGCTCCCTCTGCCACTGGGGACGAGAGGGACCCCCGCCTCCTGTGACCTCTGCAGAGACAGTCAGGGGCAGGCGGAAGCCAATGGAAAGGGCGCACCAGCGGACTGCGGGACCGGCAGTAGCGCGCCGGCCACGAGCCGAGAAATTGGCTGCGGCTCACGCCCTACCTTTACTATATACCGCGCCTCCGGGGCCTGAGGCCCCGCCCACTGGCGGCCCTAGTGGCCAATCGTGGCGCGGAGAGGCGGGGCCCGAGTCTCGAAGGGGCGGGCACCGGGCTGGCACAAAGGAGCAAGAAGGGGCCGGCTGGGGAGCGGGGGCGCGGAGAAAGGCGGAGGGAGCGGGAGGAGGGCTCCTGCGGCCGCGCAGCCCCCTCCCCGCTCCTGGCTGGGTGCTCACCGCCTTAGGTGGTGGAATAACCTGCACCTGAGTCGCTTGGAGCCCGAAGGATGCCGGGAACCCCGGGCCCACTGTGGTGACCCAGCCCTTCCTCCCGCCTGCTCTCGGTCTCCCCTAACTGTAGGTCCACCTCTCCTAGGCCCTGGCTGTGTGGGGGAAGGTCACTCCGGGACGCCCGTGACTCTGCCCAGCTCCGCCCCGCCTGCCTCTCAGCTCTTGCACCTGCCGCCCCCTCGCGCTCCCTACCCCTGCGGTCGCAGTTCCGGCCTGTCCCTCTCCTTCCAGGCCAACCCAGCCGGTAGCCCCAGTTCCTTACTCCTAGGCTGTGCTTCTTGTGGGCGGCCTGAACCACCTCGAGCAGGACAATTGCCAAACCCACTCAGGGCGGTAGCCTGGAGTGAGTCGTCCTATCGAAACCGGTTGTGGCTCAGGCCATCCTAGACCCCGGGGGACAATGTCTGCACGTGACCCGGCCACCCAGGACTCTCCTCCTGCACGTGACCCGGCCACCCAGGACTCTCCTCGCCAGGTCGGTGGCTGGTATTCTAATTGGCATGCTTTCACTCCCCCTTAGGGGCGCCCCTTGGGGGTACCGACCTCTTTGCTGAGCTGTAAAATTTTTGAAGCCAAAGTGCATTTGGGAAAACCCAGGTCAAATGGCAGAGCGTTGCAGAGCAGCCCTGGGCATGGAGTACCCCTTCCCATCCTGTATCTGCAGCTGCTAAAAAGCCAAACTCGTGTTTCCATTCCCCTCCACTGAGCCTCTGAGCAGCTTCACACATCATTCTCAGGGCAGTGACACAGCAGAAAAATGAGGGATGCTTCTGCAGTCACTGCAGAGAAGCCCCATCCCAAGAGAGGAGCATGGCCCATCCTGGAAAGGGGGACTTCCCAGCCCCATATCAAGGATTTACCCAATACAGAGATGTTTGTTCAGGCCACCCAAGGTTGTCCCCAAGGTCGACCTTGCAGGCCTCTGGACAAGCTTGACAAAATGAGCTCTTTCTCACTCATCTTTCTCAAGGCCCACTTGGAAGACCTGAGCAAACTTGAAAATTCCTGAAATTCAGGGGAGAAGCATCCACCTACTCATACAGCCCCAGAGGGGCTGCTGTGGGGCTCTGTCAAGGGTGACTGAGAATGGCCTGTTGGGAAAGGAAACCATCCCCTACTTTGCCTCTGCAGTGTTTATGTTGGCAAAGCCCCAAGTTGTGGTTGGTGGTAGGAGAACTAGAGTAAGAGGCTGCACCTGCAGATGTGGTGCCCCTGGTCCCCCTCCAGGCAGGAGTTATCTCATAGAGGAGTTTCCAGCAGAACAGGTCGCTGTGAAGGGCATGTGTTTGTTGAGTGTCCACTATAGGAAGAGGGAGTAAACCCTGTGGGCAGAACCAGCAAGAAAGGGTGAATGAGGGAATGTGGTGTGGGAAGGAGGGAGGTGATTGAGGGGAGGTTGCCCTTCCTAGGCCCCCCTGACCCCCCCCCCACTCCAGGAGAAGCTTGTGGTAAAACAAAGTATGTACTGAGAGGTTCACAGTGATCAATTTTTCATCACGATCCCTTTTTTCTTACATAGAAAGTGCCCTACCTTAGCTCTCCAGGGCTGAAGTCTGATGCTGTGTCTGGCAAAGACAGGCTTCTTGGCTTTCTCTCCCGTCCTTGACCTACTGTCTTCCTCTGGCAGATATCTCCCCTCTTAATTTTTGATTCCCTGGCTTTGCTTTCTCTCCCTCCGTGCATGAAACTCTCCTCAGGTTTTGACAGAGCCCTGAGAGTCAGGCCTGCAGAGCCAGTGCAGCATACCATTCTAAACCACTGTCCGCTTGGCTTCCTAGAAACCTCCACGTTTCCACCCCAGCCGGGTATTCTACTGGCAAGCATGATCTCAGCCCTGTGGGAAGCAGAGACCTCTCAGTGGCTCACCTCCAACTCCACCTGGCTGGCCACTGTATCTGGAATTGTCCCACCCATCCAACCTCCTCACCACATGGTACCCTCTGGGGAAGAGCCAAACAGCCTGTGTCCGCATTCCAGCTCCAGTGTGTGCTAGCTGTGTGACCTTGGGCAAATCATTTGTTCTCTTTAGGGCTGTCCCCTCAGTGGTAAAACTGAAGTGATACATGGTAGCAAGGATGAAATGGGAGACGTGGGAAAGTGCTAAGCACAGTGCCTGGTCCATAACAAGAGCTATTAAGTAGCTAGCTTAGTTATAATTCCCTGTTTCCACTTGACCTTGTCTAACCTTGGGGCTGTTGCAATGAATTTACCACCTCTCTGATACTTACCCCCTGCCAGGATTCTGGAGTTCCCATCAAGCTAGTAGAAGGTCACCCTGACAATTCCCCACCCTCCATGCCACTTTTCCCCTTGCTTCACAACGTGCTTCCTGTTCTGTGACCTCTCTAACTCCAGTAATGAATAACTCAAGCACATAATGTCCCTTTGGGCTGTACTGGGCTGGGCTTTTGTTCCAAGGCCCCTTCTGTGAAGGGTGCTGTGGCAGCAGGTTGAAAGCAAAAATTGTGTGGCTCTCAGGAGAAAGGGGTGCTTCTGGCAGATGGGGTGTGTAGCTGGGTGTGGAGGGAGGTGTAGGTCCTAGGAGCTAAGAAGCTGTTTAATACGAGTTTGTGAAGTGCAGTGTTTCTCTGCAGAACAAAGGAGGAGAAAATTCCGTTTAAAGGCTCAGGATATTTTTCTGTGCAGGCTAGGGAAGAGATGGTTCTGGAGTCCTGTGATTGGCTCTCCCCAAGGTTAATGCTGTGTGTGGGTGGATGGAGGAGAGGCAGGAAGCAGAAATGGCAGCAGAGAGTAGAAGGGGGTTATGGACCTCTGTCCAAGTGAGGATGATAGGTTCTAACACAGAAAACAACCAGAAACTATTGTGGTTGAAACAGAACCTCTTGGAGGCAGAGCCAGGGTCCAGTGGATGAAAGCAGGACAAGGCAGTCCTGTTAGTAGCAAGACAACCAGTCAGAAATGGGACTGGGAGAAGAGACAGGACAAGTCATTCCCAGTAATAAGGTCCCAGGAAGGCTAAAATTAGGGTGCAAAAGAGAGGGTGCAACTTGGCAGTCTGCGTGAGAGAGACCCAGACCTGACAAACAGATCTCCCAAGCTGTTGGCTCTCTGACCCCCTTGACCCCACGGGCCCCACTGCCACACACAATGCAGTTGCTCTGCAGAGAGCTGCAGAGGGGCGGGCTGCCAATCCCACGCTCACACGTGCTCACACACAGTGGGGTGCTTTTCAGCCAGCCTGGAGTATTTTAAGTACGGAGTGAGGGGAGGGGGGATGTGTGGCATGGTGACTCATCCTGGCAGCAGCAACTGTGTGCAGTGCAGAGGAAAAATGCTCAATGGCGGGCTCTGTTGGCAGTGGGAAGCAGCCGGAGTGTGCAGCCCTGCGATGCAGAGCTTGGGAAAGGCTGCAGTCTGGTCACCATGGCAGGGGCGTGGGTGGACGCCTGGGTAACACCTGACTCAAGGCTGGGCAGAGTGCCCCAACCATCCATCACAGAAGGACGCCTGACTGCTCCACAGGGCATCACTCTGCTTCAGAATGGACCCTCTCGTGTTCAGTAGTAAAGCAAATCATTCTCCAAACTGGTTTTGGTCTCCTAGAGAAACCAGAGACCCTGGATGGGGACAAATAGAGTTATTCCTTTGCTGCTTTCATCTGCGGCCATTCTGGCACTTTCCTATGTCTCTGGGTCTGGAGTTGAAACCTTGTCCTATGTAAGGACATAGCGTGAAAATAATGAAAAGCTACCTTTTTACCTTACCCACTGGTATGTTGGACTCTTCTACCTTCAGTGGGAGTAATGGGTTATCTCGGCTGCCAGGTCCTGACTGGCAGTCTTCCTCAAGTTGCTCTCTGATGAACTGTTTCTTTTTTCTTTTTCTTTTTCTCTTTTCATATTGAGGATTGAACCCAGGGGTGCTCAACCACTGAGCCACATCCCCAGCCCTTTTTTATATTTTATTTAGAGACAGGGTCTCACTGAGTTGCTAAGTGCCTTGCTAAGTTGCTGAGACTGGCTTTGAACTTGCAACTCTCCTGCCTCAGCCTCCTGAGCTGAGGGATTACAGGTGTGCACCACTGTGCCTAGCTGCTGGGCTGTTTCTTAACAGGGATGTCTACAAACCATGAGTAGTGAGACCTGCCAGAATTCCTGTCCACCCCCGTGAAGTATACGGATGGACACATGGTTTTAGGAGGACCACTGAGGAGCATTGTCTCTGTAAGAAATCATGACTCCCTCAAATGATTGCCATTTGGCAGGACTAGGGCCCCAGGGAAGTGGTGCCAGATCACTGTTACAGCTTTCAGAGTCAGCTCACCTGCTCCTTGTGCTCCGCTAATGCAGGGAACCAACCAGTGCATTCTGTCATGTTCCAAGACTGGGTGTGTAGTTCAGCTCCATCCCCAGCACTGGGGAGGCTGAGGCTAAAGATCATCTGAGGTCAGCCTGGACAACAATGAAAGACCCCCATCTCCAAAAGTTAATGAACAAAAGTTCCTTTTCAGAATTTTCCACTTTCTTAAAAGGCAACCATTGAGCACTTTTCTGAGAACTAATCTCACTAAGGGTAGAGCCACTACCGCATTACCCTGGCAGATAGGAATTATTATCAGGAAACCTGCCTGGATCTCAGCTGGCCAAAATTCAGCCATCCACCCACATGAGAAATAAGCAAACCAAGCCATGTAGAAGGGGAAAACAAAATGTATGCAGTTTGAACAAACAGGGAGAAGCAGCTAGCTTGTTTCTCCACTGGTCCTATAGAAGGATCACAATTTATAGAAACAAAGGCCAGGAGATGTGCATATGTAGATTTGTTTAGGCTGTGGAGCATAAGAGAAACCAGGAGCTCTGTTTCAGCATGGACTCATCAGCCCCAGGAAGGATAGATGACACTGGGATGGGGGTGGATTTTTATAAGCCCCTTTCTGCAGGAAATTTGAAGTCTTCTAGAGATGAAAGGTATGCCTATTTTATGGTCTGCTTAATCTTCAACTTCTTACTGAAGCGATAGCTGAAGGCCAGGAGGAGTCATTGTGGATAACTCCTGTTTTAGTGCTGAAGATAATGGCAGAGGGCCTGGAGCTCAGGCTCCCATCTGCTGGGTCTGTGTAGCTAGCCAGCTAGTCTCCAGTCGAATGCCTCCAGGGGCTGTGTCCTCCCCACCTGGCAGCAGGACATCCTGTTGTTGGGAAACTCGCAGTAGCTCCTCATAACTTCTGACGGGTCCCTGTTCTCAGCTTTGGAGGACATTTTGAAAGGAAAATGCAAACTAAGCTGCGAGTCTGCTGAGTGTTCAACAGGGCAGCCCTGCATGTATTGAGAACATCTCTTCTGCTTCCCTAGTTTCTACTTTCAAGAGTAGAAGCTCTCCCGTTTCTCCGGACCTGGTGAGGTGGCATCTGACTCCCTCCTGGCCCTTTCTGCCTTCCTCTGCATAATTTCTTACCTGTTGGTGTCCTTTTTCAAGCAGGGACTCTGGTTCTGAGGAGCACAGAGTCTAGGGAAC